TATATATATATATATATATATAAATCCTTTAGGCTCCAAAATTGCTTTTATATATATAGATCCTGACTGATGGGGTGGAGGGTTTTGTGATGATGTGAACTGAGATCCACCAGCATGTTTCACACAGCGCTTCTGACACCCGTCAGCTGGATAAGGGAGTAGTACTTGTTAGGTGATTATAGAACCGGACTGGGAATCAGAAGAGCTGGGTTATATTCTCAACTTTGTCACTGACTTGCTTTGTGAAATTGGGCAAATCATTTAATTGCCTTGTGCCTCAGTTTCCTCATCTGTAAAGCAGAGATAATACTGATTCATTTCTGTAAAGTGCTTTGAAATCTCTGGATTAAACTGTAATACAAAGTAACTGAATGATTATTAGTAATGGTGTTAATCATAACTAACATGAATAAGAGTCAAGTCATCAGACTAGGGATTACATATTATTTTATCCTATTCAGACCCCATTGAGCCATCCAATCCCCAGCCATTTATTTCCTCTAAAAATCAGAAAGATTTGTTAAATAATTCTACATGGAATGAGATGTGCGACTATGGAATGTTCCCTTTCACAATAGAAGAGGAGATTGCGTAGCCTTTTCTGGAAGATCCTCATTGGCTGAATGTTGTGCTGAGAAGAAAGCACGTCCCTCTCTGCAGTAGCTCAGAATTTGTGCACTGGGTATTGCACAGACTATGGTACCAATCTGCACTGCTCACCTGAATGACCTTCATGGGGTCTGGACGCTGTTCAGGTTTCTTGGAGATGAAGCCTTGAACATCACCATAGATGACATCTAATTCTGGGTGCACCTGACACACAGCATCTAGCAGTTTGAGGAAGCTTCCATTCACAATCACATTCTATTGAAGGGGAAAAAGGACACTACACTCAGCCTAGGCATACCAGCCTTCCTGTCCAGCCTGCCCGGCAGTTTATTGAAAGCAAGAAACCACCAGTATTAATGAATCCCATCTTGTGTCAATATTAACTGTTTTCTTCACGCCTCATACCTTCTCTCTTCCTCACAGTTCACTTCACTTTAGTGGCTCCCCATTGGGAACCCAAGACTCCTCAGTGCTTCAGCCTCTGTGCATATGTTCCCTTTCTTTATCCTCACCACCCTTTGCCACTTCTGAGATACATAATTTACTTCTGTTTCACAGACGACACATGCCTATCAAGTTGAAACACATCTGCCACCTTGCTACACTAGCTGGTCAGCAAATGATTACTAAGAGATGGTCCCTTTCCCGCTTGGTCAACATATGCCCTGCTCATTATTGTTTGCATTCTGCAGAAAAGAAAAAAACCTGTGATCTAAACTCAAACGGGTTAGTTTCTCCAATGATGACTCTTTACAATCCATCCTACAGGGGCAGGTAAATCTGGGAGTGGGTGAGTTTCACTTAACACCTAGAATTTTCAGGGCTTTTTTTAAAACCCTGTTTCAATATGTAGCACTGGTAAAAGGTTACAAATCAGCAATATCTGAAGACTAAGGGTGTGTCTAGACTACAGGGTTTTGTCAACAAAAGTGGACTTTTGTTGACAAAACTAAACTTGCATCTACACTTCCTCTGAGTTCTGTCGACATAACGTCGACAGAACTCAGCAGTTTTGTCGACGCTGGTAAACCTCATTTTACGAGGAATAACACCTTTTGTCGACAGAGTTCTGTTGACAGAAGGCATTATTGCATCTAAACTGTCCTTTGCGTCTACACTGCCATGTCGACAAAGCAGCTTGCTTTGTCGACAGAACTGAATGTAGTCTAGATGCTCTTTGTCGACAGAAGCTTTGTCAACAGTATCTGTCGACAAAACTTCTGTCGACAAAAGCCTGTAGTCTAGACGTACCCTAAGAGTTTGGTTTTCAGAGATGCTGAGCATCTGCAGCTCATTGATTTTGATGGCATAGTTGGGGCTCAGCATTTCTGAAAATCAAACCTAAATTAACTATCCCCAGAGCAGGTACAGGAAGGACAGCAATATTCTATCTTAAGGTTTTATAGTTAGCTGTCATTGGTAAACCTCAATATTGATGCAAAAATAGTTATTGATTAAATCATTATAGTTGATTTTTATTATGTTAGGTTATTCCAAATTTGTCTTTGCCTTTATTTGAAAATTTTAAGAGGCATTTAAAATTCTGTTCTATTCATAATGCTTGCAGAACATGGTTGCTCAAAGGCTTATTAGTAGCTTATTTGATTATATAAACCATCAAGCTAGTTACGGAGATTCCTTGAGGTCTCTGCTTTCTGTCAGTATAACAGGCTTCCAAAGCTCCAGGAAAATAACCACATTTATTATCCCAAGTGAAGTTACCAAAATTCTGAAATTCATCTTGATACCTTTTATTTTGCTTAAGTATTTTATGCTCTTTTCTTTTATCATATTTTATAGTATTATTTGTATTAGTTATTTTCATTCATGCGTAATATAGAATATTTGATAGGAGTCTTTACTTGCAAGTTATAAATTCCATATGTAGTAGACTGTGTAAAAGAATGTATGGAGTACCAATACTTAGGATGTGTTATCCAGTGATAAGCTAAGAGGATGTCTTAACTATGGGCTGGATCAATGGGCAGCAATTGAGCCAGTAGGGATCAATTATCGTGTCTAGTATAGATGTGATAAATCAACCACTGAACACTCTCCCATCGACTCTAGTACTCTACCTAAACAAAAAGAGTAGGCAGAATCAACAGGAGAGTGTCAGCTGTCGACTTAACGCAGTGAAGATAGCACAATAAGAAGACCTAAGTACATCAACTTCAGCTACGTTATTCACATAGCTGAAGTTGCGTAACTTAGATTGACAACCTGTGTCAGTATAAACAAGGCCTAAAACACCATAAAAATGGGCCTTTTCACTGCTTTCCTCTGCAAAGAATCCCACTCAAAGGATTCTAGTAAAAAAATCTTATTGGAATTCTTTCTTGAAAGTCTTCTTTCTTCAAGTGATAAGGAGAATACTTATGATTGGGAAATGTGGGCTAGAAGACTTTTGGTTACATCTCACTCCATGTTTCCATTTAAAGGTGAAAACTTTCATTTATTCCTTGAATACTTAAGATGGCATACGATTTCTTGGTAGATGTATATATGCAAATATATTTATCAAAATGCAAACTTCATATAATAACTTTCTGATGTCATTGCAATATGAATAACTAAATGTTTTGTGTACAAATATAGTGAGGTCATTTGATTCTGTAACTGGTCACTAATGTAGGAAGCCATTAAAGTATAAAACCAGTTGGGGAATGAATTAGTCAAAAAGAAGACACAATGTCTTCTTTGATGACTACTTGAATTTAAAGACTCTCATTGAGAAGTTTAAAAGACCTGTTTGGAAAATTGAAAGACCCTTCTATATGAAACAGGGGTGTTTGTACTCATTTAATAGGGGATGAAATTCTCTTTAGACTCTTTTTTTTTCTCCACTCAAGCTCATCTGAGGAAGTGGGCTTTGACTGCCCACAAAAGCTTATGATACTATATATATATATATATATATATATTTGTTAGTCTCTAGGTGCCACAGGACCACTTGTTGTCTTTAGACTCTTGTGAGATTGAACTGACTGAATAAAGGAAAGAGCTAAAACTCTAAAATGTAAATATGCTCTGAGAAGTTCCCCCCTCAAGCACAAAGCCATTTACCATGTGCTGCATGTGCATTCACAGATTGCATATTCATCAGCTGAAGATGCTACTAAGATTTTTTAGTAAGGTGTTAAGCCAATGAAAAGGTGATAGCAGCTGGTATTTGAGCCCAGCCAAGCATTGAATAAGATATGCCTTCCTTGTTCAGTGATACTACAGAAGGAGAATTTAAAACTCTCCAAACTGAGTAAGCAATTAACAATCCTCTACTTCCATTTCCCAGCTTCAACTGCTCACTCATCACAGCACCTTCATCTAAACTCAGCTGTGCATCTCACCACTGTAAGAAAGCAGCAGCTGTAATAGACAGCTGAGAAAAAGAAAAACTAAAACTGAACATTAAGAAGAAGAATCCTTCCAATTCAGCACTATTTCTGCATCATGACACAACAGTGTCTAGAGCAGTGGCTCTCAGCCTTTCCAGACTACTGTACTCCTTTCAGGACTCTGATTTGTATTGTGTACCCCCAAGTTTCACCTCACTTAAAAACTACTTGCTTACAAAGTCAGACATAAAAATTCAAAAGTGTCACAGTGTACCAATACTGAAAACTGCTTATTTTTTCATAGAGCAGTGTAAACAAGTCATTGTTTGTATGAAACGTCTGCACTGGCTTTGTTTGGGGATGGCAGAGTTTTACATGTACTCCTGGTTGAGAACCACTAATCTAGAGTATCATTGGTGAGATGAAGTTTGCCAACACTGTCTAGTGATTAGATTTACATTTTTCTTGTAATGGTTTTAATGAGATATGGAAAACTATTGTAATTTAAGGTGTTAAGTTCTTTTCTTAGGCAGCATTCTTGGAGAGGAGATATCAGCTAACTCTGGTAAATAAAGAGAAAATATGTGATTTAATTTGGATTTAAGAAACTTAATATTCATTAATTGCTTATCTAAAGTCCTCTCATTGAATGGCTTCTTTTAAGTAACTGGATTTAAATGACTTTGGTTTCATAGGACTTAGTTAAGATTACTCATTGTTGTCCATTTTTGTGTTTATATTATCAAATGATAAGCCAAATAGGAGTCACCTATATTTGAATGAAATTCTTTTGTCCATCTATAAAATGTTTTAGTTACCTGTGATAAACTTAGATGGGACTCATTACTGATTTTGGGAATAATATTCTTTGGTCTTAGTTTACCTAAAGAAGAATAGCTCCACTGGAAGAGGACCTACCTTGAAATAAAAATGCTCTTCACAGAGAGGCATACAGAAGAGATTGTAACTGAAGTAACCACTGTTTATTGCTTGTGTTCTGATTTATTTTTAATTTTTCTCTTTTTTAACAATAAAATACTCATAGTGAGTATTTTGCTTCTCTTTAATTGTGGGGTGTTCTAAGAACTGGCAAAGAACCATAAGTAACTAAAATAGTGAGTATGTAGCACTTTAAAGACTAACAAGATGGTTTATTAGATGATGAGCTTTCGTGGGCCAGACCCACTTCCTCAGATCAAATAGTGGAAGAAAATAATCACAACTATATATACCAAAGGATACAATTAAAAAAATGACACATATGAAAAGGACAAATCACATTTCAGAACAGAAGGAGGATGGGGGGGGGAGGAAAGGAAGGTAAATGTCTGTGAGCTAATGGTATTAGAGGTGATAATTGGGGAAGCTATCTTTGTAATGGGTAAGGTAGTTGGTGTCTTTGTTGAGCCCGACACGTAGAGTGTCGAATCTTAGCATGAATGACAGTTCAGAGGATTCCCTTTTTAATTGTATCCTTTGGTATATATAGTTGTGACTATTTTCTTCCACTATTTGATCTGAGGAAGTGGGTCTGGCCCACGAAAGCTCATCATCTAATAAACCATCTTGTTAGTCTTTAAAGTGCTACATAGTCCTGTATTTTGTTTCAGCTACACCAGACTAACACGGCTACATTTCTATCACTAAAATAGTGAGCATCATGTCCCTGAATGGGCATTGAAAGAGGCAATGGTTAAGATTGGTCCTACCATTTTTTGGTCTGGCTACAATAATTTAGTAATATTTGGAATAAAAAAGTTACTCCGAAACTTGAAACACCCTTTTCTACACAGCAGTCATCATAGTATCTGAGCACATACTCTACTACACTGCCCTAGAAGATCATATTGTATCATGGGAAGGGCATTCAGCTTCCCTGGCAAACTCATGTTTTGTTCTCTCTTCTGCAACTGCAGTCAAAATGGCCAATTACGGCTAACCGTGATGGTGATAGGGTAACTATCTACCAGGAATTCGAATGACACTTCACAACTTCCACTTATGCCACTGAAGAGCTATTAAATAATAACTTTTTGTCATTAGTGGCTGCAGCAGAACTGATACCGGTAGCCTCAAGGACAGACCTCAAAAAGTTTTGAAAGAGTCTAAAATTCAGGCAGCTCCAAAAGGTTCTAAAGTATATATTTTGGGACTCTACCAGCCCTAACATCATCTTACTGAGATGTTGAGCTCTTCCATCTTGGATTTTGGATTCTTCCTGAGGGATGTGACAAGTGCAATGGCACCCTCTACAGTTAAGGGATTCTGAGTCATCTGTGATGAAAGATAAATGGAAACAGATTAGGAGGAGAATTTTACTTCCTGGCAATGAGCATGGGTGTATCTCTCGTCCCTCCCCGCCTCCGGTCTAGACTTTAGGGTAGTCATGGCCCTTTCAACAAATTTATTTTCATTATCTGTCATCTTGTCATCTTCCCATTAAACTCTGCAAAGCCAACTGCAGGAATACATTCTGGTTACTTCTTTCTTCTCCTCCTTTGCCTGCCTGTCACTTAGCACAAAACCAATTGCTTTCCACTTAATCTTAGGCAGATCAGATCAGAGTTTTCTTTACCCCTCCCCCTGTCTTCTTTCTCCGCTGCACAGGGTTTTACATTCTAGCCCAATTCTGGCTCCATCTTTACCTTCAGGATTTTGAGATTTCCATTTTCCTCTAGCCCCTTTGCCAGCTTTCCTGCCCCTTCATTGTTGATATGATTGCTGCTGATATCCAGTAGGACCAGAGTGTTGTTCTGTTTCAGAGCTTCTCCTAGGGCCACAGCCCCCTCATTCCCAAAACCATTCCATGAGAGGTCAAGTATCTTCAGTGTTCCATTGGCCTCCAGAGAGAGAGAGAGAGAGAGAGAGAGAGAAGAAAGATCACCACTGGCATCACAGCCATTACAAATCCAGATGATACTTCAATCTATTCCTCCTTTCATGATTGAGGCAGTGTGTCTGCCTGTGTCTTCACTGTTGTAGATAGAATTCTACCCACATCAGCGGTCTCACAGCAGTACCTAGCTGGAGCTTCCATACTGTGAGTTTCTTTACAGATGTGACCTAAGAGAGCCAGTCCAGAGCAAAGTGATGCCGAACTCTCCCCAGCAGTGCTAACTGGGACTGCAGCAATGTGAGCTAACCAGTGCCAACCCACTGATGTGAACTTTCTCCTAGCACTGTTAGTGCTCTCTAAGGGCACGTTTACACTTCAGGGCAAAAGTCAAATTAAGATATGTAACTTCAGCTACGTCAATTGCATAGCTGAAGTTGAAATAGCTTAACTCAGCTTTTCGAGCTGTCTACACAACAGGAAGTCAAGGGAAGAACACTATTCCTTTGACTTCCCTTACCCCTTGTGAAATGAGGGTTACAGGACTCAGAGTAAGAAGTCCCCCATATTGATATTATTTTGAAATAATGGCTTGCTGTGTAGACATGCACTGTGTTATTTCAAAATAACATCAATTATTCAAAAATAACGCTGCTGGGGAGATGTAACCTAGGACTACATTTGTGAGAGCTACCAAATCCAGCCCAAATCACAGTGATGTGAGCTTTTTCTCTGCACTGCCCTATTATTACCAGCTGACACTCCCTACTATGAAAATAGGTGATTATGAAAAAGCCAAGCAACACTCATGAAATAGTGCATTTGAGAGAGAGGTGCTGTGCCTGAACACTCATTCATGAATCGTGTTAGTCGCTACTTCAGTGGTGGGCAACCTGTACACAGCTCATCAAGGTAAGCCCCTGGCAGGATGCCAGACAAGTTGTTTTACCTTGTGTCCGCAGGTATAGCAACTCCAGCTCCCATTGGCCACTGTTCACTGTTCCTGGCCAATGGGAGCTGCTGGCAGCAGTATCCATGGATGCAAGATGAACAATTTGTCTGGCAGCTTGCCAGCGGCTTCCCCTGATGAGCCAAGGGCCACAGGTTTCCCACCACTGCATTATGTCATATCAGCCAGACTTTGGCTCAGTGGTGGGAGATGTTCAAGAGTGTGGGTAAGGAGGGGAATCTGTGCCTTTCCCCAGAGAAGAGGGATCTCAGAAGCAGATTAATCTAAAATGAACTGAAGCTTGAGAGGTAAGAAGCTTAGATGAAGGGTCACTAAGAGTATGTGTCATGGGAGAAGACCCCTTTGTCAGAGGAGGACATGAATGGGAGTATCTGTTTTTTCTCTCTTCCTTGGCTTTAAGTGTTGCCTAAAGTTGCCCGTTGGTAAAATTAGAGGGGTGTAGGTTATTGGCAAACACAGGAATGGCAAGTGGTGATATAAAATCAATGTTAGCAGAGCAAGAGCAAGCCAGTGCTTCATACAGAGTATGCTAACCTCCCAAGGTCAGCTAACAGTCATAGTCAGATTTATTCCAGAGGGATGCTTACCCTGAGACCTGCACCCAATGCCACAGCCCCCTTCAGCCGCAAGTGGTTCCAGCTCAGGTTCAGAAATTCCAGTATTTCATTGTTGGCTGAGGAAGAGGAAAAGAGATGTTAGTGAAGAAGAGGGAGAATGAACAGAAATGCATTTTAAAAGGCACAAGAGGTTCATGTTATTGAAGGAGTAGGGAGACATGAGGTAATCCCAGGCATATACCATAAAATACATGCTACAAATGAACACATATAAATATGTCACTGGATCAATGAGCAGTGATCATCCAGCAGGGGTTGATTTATAGTGTCTAGTATAGACAAGATAAATCAACTGCTGAGCTCTCTCTAATTGACTTCACCAGTAATCCACCAGAAAGAGAAGCACATGGGGAGTTGATAGGAGAGCATACGCTGTTGCCACACCTCAGTGAAGATACCACAATAAGAACAAGGCCATCCCTGTCAATATGCAAAATTTGCAGCTGTGTAGGATGCCACAAAATTTGGGGCACCAAATTGCCCCAAATTTCATGGTGCTATAGACATCTGAGTGCTGCAGTATGCAGTGTTGCAAACTCCAGCAGCAAGCCCCATTGCCTGGCTGGCTCCCCAATGGGATGCACCCAGGAGAGCCTTCTTTAGTGGGGTGCAGTGCCTAGGACAACATCTCCTTCTTTGCCCTGCCCCCCCACTCTGCCCCTATGTCACCCTGTCCCCTCCAACCATGCTCCACCCCACCCTGATTTGTCCTGCCTTCTGCCGCAAGCCCTCTTCCCCCAAGTGACACATCCTGGGGAATTAGTGGGGGCCCTGGCACTGGCAGCAGGGGAGCGGACAAACTTTTCAGGCCTCTGGGCAAAGTGGAAAAACCGGTTTTCCCAAAAGGGTTGGAACCTAGGGTGGAAGGGGCAAGGCTGGGGGCAGCCAGCCTTCAGCGCCATCTGAAATGGGCCATGCTCTAGCTGCTGCCTCTGCTGCAGCAGTGGCAGTGACTGCCAGGAGGCCGAGGCCCTTTTGAATCGCCGGGCCCTTTTGAATCACCCTTTTGAATCACTGGGAACCATTCACTGGCAGTAGCAGGAAGCAGAGCAACCTGGCCCCAGCCTGCTCTACTCCACAGGCTCCTAGCCATGTCACTCCACTTCCCACTGCCGGTGAGTGCAGGGGGCAGTTATACCTCTTCCCTGAGCATTGCATCTGGGAGCCAGGGGAGGGGAGCAGGCTGTGGCCAGGTGCTGGTGAGTGCAGGGGTGGCCCTGACACCTGCTGCTGCAGTCTCCCTGCTCTACTCCTGCCCCCCACAGTTCTGCGCCTGTCCTCCACAGCTCTTGACCATGCAGCCCACAGGTACTGAGCGCAGCCCTCCCACAGGGGCCCCCTCCCTGCTGAGTGCAGCCCACCATAGGAGAGCTGCATAGGGTACCAGAACTGCTAGGGACAGCTCTGGGTAAATGTCATGAATATGTCAACTTCAGCTATGTTATTCACGTAGCTGAAGTTGCATAACTTAGATCAATCCCTTGCAGTGGTATAGATCAATCCATAGATAAATAATATAGCTAGGCATTCATGGTAAGTATGCTCTCAGACAGACCCACACAGTTTCTCTCTCACTCACCCATCCAAGCACCCACACACACACACTTGCAGTTACTACAAACAGCGCTGCATAGACCCATGAACACATATGTACACATGCAACTATACAAATGACCCTCCATTTCCCAACCTCCGAAGACACTAGACACAGACTGCAGATACAGAACATGGACACTATTAGGAATCTTAAATGAATAATAATACATCTTGTTTTAGAGAAACAATATGCAGCTGCTATTCTCAAGGTTGATTCCACACTCTCCACTATTGCTGCCATCCCTACTAATAACAACTCCTCCACTGATACATGATAGTGATACCAGTGGCCCTTCCTCCAGTGAGAATCTGATAGCGGCTGAGCACCAAATACTCCTCTGGTAAAGCATATGTGACAGCCCGACAACTTCCTGCAATGTCATGAATGAACTCTATTGATTTAAATGAAATATTATAAATTAGGCTCAATATCTTTGCAGTCCATTGTGTTAAATATGCAATTGTGTATATGTTAGTGAGGAATTGTCTGTAGCTTCTCTAATAAACTGACTAATACTCTTGCTGGAAGAGATTAGGACTTTCAAAGGGCTTTTTGGAATAATATGGGTAGAGTGGATTTCCCAGGAAGCATCTGGGGTTAAGGAGAATGCAAATGATCTACTGGGAAACCATCCTTTTGATCTCTGTTTGGGGAGGAAAACCCATTTCTACTAAATACCTGCTCCTGGAAATTTCAGCTGCAAGACCCCTGAATTGTAGAAAGGATGGACTAAGCATGTTATGAGTGTGCATGTTCTGATCTAAACCTGTGATGAATTTGAAACCACAAGGAAATCACTGGTTGGGATTGAAGAACTGCTAGAGCACATGTAAGGGTTGGGCATTGGTGCAGAAAGCAGGAGCATGGGGGGAGGGTGCTATGGCACCCACAGGTTTTCCACCCAGCTTCCATGCCCAGGGGCTGTCCCCACTACTGGCTCCATCACTTCCCTGCCCCAGCTTCTGGCCAGCCCTGACACCTCCCCGGTCCTGCAGCCCACCATCCCCGGGATCTGGCCTCCAGTCTGGTCTGGCTCCTGCCACTGGCCCGGGGCTCTGCAACCACCTCCAGTTGCAGCTAAGTCACCATCTCCTGTGGATTGGATGGACCAGACACCATTGCAGCAAACGGAATCTGGTCCATCTGGTTCAGGAGAGTCAGCAACATTTGTGGGCAGAACAGATTTGGGGGGATGGAGCTCAGCACACTCACCCTAAAATCTGTTCAGGCTCCACTGTGGTTGGGGTGATCTGTGATAAAATTATTAACATGCATATGCAGGTTCTTTTATTGTTTTTAACATGTTTTCTTAGTAATGCTTTGACCTTAAGAATCAAATAGGTTTGCTCAGAAAGAACTATGTGGTAATTTACAGTTGTGAGCAGTCACACCCTTAACCATCTCTGAAGAGAAAGCAAGCAAGTGTGCTTGGACAGCCTGGCTCTGCCTGGAGTAGCTCAGTCAGAATGGTGAGAAGAAGGAAAGGCAACAGCTGGGGAGCTGGAAGCCTGAGAGAGGGAGCCTTTATTGGACCCGAGGGGAAATACAGGTGCAGTTGACCTGAACTGTGACAGTGTGGCTACGTCTATGCTGCACCTCTCTTGCGCAAAAGCCTATGCAAATGAAACGCGGATTAGCAGGGCTCGCCAAGCAATGGCGAGCCCCGCTCACCAGCCGCGCGGTCCGGCATGCTACACATGCTCAGACAGTGCTGCGCATGCACTGACTGCGCTGCGCAGCTGTGCCGGTTTGTAATCTACTCGCCACAGGTGAGTAGATTACACTAATTGTCGAGCCCTGCAGTTTAGTATATTGCCACGGTTCATTTGCATAATTAATTAGGGGCCATTTTTGCACAAGAGGCTTTTGCGCAAAAAGGAGCTGTGTGGACGGCTCGTTTTGGCGCAAAAACCTCCTCTTGCACAAGAGCTGTTCTTCCTGAAAAAATGAGGAAGAACGGCTCTTGCACAAAAGGGGTTTTTTGCGCAAAAAGGAACCATCTACACAGCTCCTTTTTGCGCAAAAGCCTCTTGTGCAAAAATGGCCCCTAATTAATTATGCAAAGGAAGCACAGCAATATGCTAATCCATGCTTCATTTGCATAGGCTTTTGCGCAAGAGAGGTGCAGTGTAGATGTAGCCTGTGCAGTGGAGTTCTCTGAGCTGGTAGCTGGTCTGTGAGGCCCAAGGGTGCTCTGTACAAAGGGAGAGCTTGAAATAGCCTATCCTGCAGATACTTCTTGGAGCAGGGCAGCCCCTGTGAAATTTTGAGGGCTATCAATCAACAAAGGGTTGATGCAGATCCATGAACAACAAGAGCTGATTTGCAGCAGGTGAATCCTGCCTCTGTTTTAACTCTAGTCAGAGTCTCCTTATTCCCTAGAGCATTTGAAGGGCGGAGGAGAATACAGTATGTTGGTGATGCAGAGTATGTCTCCACATGAAGCTGGAGGTTAATTTTCAGCTTAAGGAGGCAGTAGAACAGTTTCTTTGGCTTATATAAAGAGCATAACACGCTGGAGGGTTAGGGAAGGGAGACGATTAATATAGTGGACACTCATTTTCTAAGCAGATGGGTGGGACAGTCCCTCCCACACACACAAAAAAGCAAGACTCACTCTGCCTGCAGGTGATTAGCAAGCAGATAGAAATCTAAGCCTTTGTGCCATATGTATGCAGCTGTATGCGAGCCTTTGCCAGTCCAGCTGCACAGCATGGCACATAGTGGCAATTTTACTCAAAGTAGGGATGGATATGAATTCATCAGTGCAGCATGTGAATCCATTAGTGAGAGAGGAGGCCTATTACTGTGCTGGAAAATGACCTCTGACTGGGGTGAGAGGCTGGCTGCCAACATGTTCCTATCTGATTTTATGACAATTCCCAGGGATAGCAGTTTGGATCCCAGCAGCTGGCATGTTCATCCCATTTTTTTAAAAATCTATTAAAATTGTTTTGCAAATATCTCTTCATTTTGTGCTTCAGTGGAGCTGGAAGAAATTGAATCTATCATGGCATGGGTTGGTCTAAACAGTAAATCCATGATGGTAGAAACCCTGAATCAGGGAAATGAAAGTGTTATTTTGACTAAAGAAAGGATTTCAGTAGCACTGTGTGATTATAGTGCATACATCTGCTGCCAAGGGGCCACTGTGATAGGTGGGCCAGAAATGTTAAGAGAGAGATTTGTAAAGGTCTTTTCTGGGACTCTATTAGCAAGTGAGATTTGGGTTTTGGCAGACTGAGAAGTCTCAGCTCATGGGAGGCAGGTAATGTAGGCAAGGGAAGGAATGGCCTTCTCAAAACTGCCTACACTCCATGACCTTTGCAGAAGGCTGGCACTGCAGAGCAGGCTAGGGGTGGATGGGGCTTGGCCCCAACAGGGGAAGAAAGTGTGCTGAAGGGGCAGGGCTAGAGCTTGCCTTCCCCTAGCTGGGCCTTTACCTGCTGCCCATATTTCAGCCTCAAGAAAGATGAGAGAGTCACCTAAAATGACATGGAATTAAGGGTGAGTTGTTGGCCCAGGCAGAAGGGTTAAAGAAAGCCCTGGCTCCTAGTCCTTTACAACAGCCATCAGGCCCCACAACTTTCTTGCTGTAAAATGTGAGAAGAGTGGTGGATTCACTCCTCAATCAGGATTGGGCCCCAGAGGTCTTTAAGGGAAAAGGTGCCTGTACTGGCTGTCCAGCTGGTTCCATGGAAGTAATGAGTGGAGTTACCCAACAGCTGTCCTAGATGCTCTCCTCCCTTCTCAGAGAACTCATTGTGGCTGAGGTCCAGCTCTTTCACTCGGTAATTGCCCTATGGAGAGAAATTGTGCAGAGAGATTCAGATCTTGCACCCAGCTGCAGCCAGCTGCCATTCCAAGATCCCAGAAGAGAATGAAACAAAGGCTGTCAGATAGATTAGTGCACAGCAGTTTGTCAGGATGGAGATAGGGAATTGTGATTCCCAGAACAAAGCAAGTTTATCAGTCTTTTAACACTGTATTTTTTCCTCAGGAAATGGCAAAGTACAGACAAATGCTGTCCCAAAATCACTCTCACAGCTCTGTTCATGGACTTAGTCCCAGGCCTGCCTATAAGGGGGTCAACAGGGGCAGTTGCCCCAGGGCTGGGCAATTTAAAAGGGCCCGGGCTCCCAGCAGTTGCTGCCACTACCACAGCACGGTTTATCTATGACTTTTACTAATAATAACTCCAACTAAATCTTAGGTGCTGAGGGTGGATGGGTACTCTCACAGACCCTCGGGGGAAGCTCTAGGATGTGCCCCCCTGGAGGGGCATAAAGAAATTCCAGGGGGGGCACGAGGTGACCCAGCCCACCTTCGCCCTCCCAAGTTTTGCTGCTATATTTGTTTTTTGGCCCCGGTCAGTTCCTTTTATTTATTTTTTTTGCTCAAGTTTTGCTGCTATTTTGGGGAGGGAGGCATGACGGTTTCTCAAAAATCAAAAAGGGGGCGTGATGCCGAAAAGTTTGGGAACCACTGCTCTAAGGAATGCTGTTGTGTCCGAGGCCCCACTGCTGGGGAGGGGTTGGCCTGGGGTCATTATTGCTGGAGGGAACCCTGGGTCCCTTACAATTGCTACTCTTTTTTTGGAGGGGGGAGGGTGGCCCTCAGCATCACCACTGCTCTGGGTGGAGTACAGCACCTTGGGGCCCCACCACCTCTTCTGTTGGGGGAGGAGACCTGAGATGCCATCACCACTGCTTCTTCAGGAAGGGGTAATTCAGGGCCCTACCACTACTCTTGAAGGGATGGCCTACAGCACTACTGCTGCTCCCAGACAGCTGCTCCATGGCAGAACCCAACTACTCGGACAGCCCTGCGCTAGCTGATGGAGAAGTCATAGAAGTCTAGAAAGTCAGAGAATCCATGACTTCAGTGACCTCCATGAAAGACTCACAGCTTTATCCTTAATACATATCAGAATGACTAAGAATGGCTCTGTGCAGATACCTGCTCCCTGCTAGGTCCACTCTCCTATCCACCTCCTCCCTGCCTGGCATGTTACTCACCAGTAGTGCCTCAGCGAAGAATTGTGCAGTTTCCTCCCTAAAGTTGTTTCCTGCAGAGGGGAAGTGTGTATTAACAGAGTCCAAAGGCCTTCTTTGTGACATTACACTGTGTCTGGGAGAATCTCTTGGGCTGGCTGGAATGTCATTCCATAAGATGAAGAACAAATAGAGTTAAAGGTTACTTCCCCACTTTCTCTTCCTTTAATCTCCTTAGTAGTTTTGTCTTAGAATGCACAGAGTGCTCAGACATTGCCTCGCTGAGGGTCATACTTAATTGCTCAGAGGTGGCTATATCTTGGTATATAAGTATAAATCAAGACTTCAGTGCAGTTACTAGCAATTTACATGGGAGCAGAATCTGACCCATAGTCTATAAAGATGAGAAGAGCTATAGAAGTGTAAAATGTTATCACATCATACTCCTCCCCCTCTTTCCCAGAATGCATGGACCCACCTGAGAGCTGAACAGCCCGGAGACTAGAAATATTGTCCAGGAATATCCTGGAGATGGCTTCTGCTCCTTCTGTGTCTAGGTGGTTATTGGAAATGTTCTGAAAGGGAAGTATCAAGCATATGAAAGGAACCTCCCTCCAGCATGGAGCTGCTTTCAGTGTTGTTTGTGGCTGAATGTGAAAGAAAGGCCAAGAGAATACAAGACCAGCAGGATAGAGGCACTGGTCAGGCAGGGACACTCCTAGACAGTAATTAAAACCAGAGGTTTCCTTCTTTTTTATGCTTGTATGTGCAACCCCAGCTCCTTCAAAGTAGGGGCAAAATTCCAGAGCCAACAACTTCACTGAGGTCTTGGTCTTCAAGGAACCAGCAATTACTGTACTATGTCAAGAGATCTTCTTTGACTCAACACAAAGCCGAAGGCATTACAAAATCCATTCCCTATGCCCCCAGTTTTGGATACAGGAAACATTACTCGGGACATATATAAAAAGTATTTTTTTATTCATCTCTTAATCTGTTCAGAAGGATTTCCACATACCATGTCAGAGCATGAAGTCTCCAACACAGACCATTTTCTCCATTGGCTAACCATACTAAAGAAGGATTTGTTTATGAGAAGGAAGATAATCATTTTGTTGGTTTTGGTAAATTAAATAACTTCTTACTTCTGGGGACTATCATGCTCTCAGTATTTTGCTTTTCAGCAGCTTATACTTTTTAAAGTAGAGGGGCACAAAAATTATGATATTCAGAATGTGAAATTTTTTGTGGAGGGACAGTAAGACCCTGGAAACCAATTAATTGATTTTTGTGAAATTCAAAATTTCCTCAGATAGTTTGTGCAGAAAATTGAAGGCAGATACTCTGCATTTTCAACATAAAACAATGGTATGATTTGATATAGCAGATGGTAGGGATATGAGACCTGAAAAATCTGTGGCCTGACCCAGTAAGGAAAGTTACTGGATGAGATGCCCAATGTGGGAGCTTGAATGTCACGTCCTATGCTGCCATGTTCCAGTGTGTTAGAACTAAGAAGAAAATTGGATACCAGCTCTTGAATGTAGCAGTTCTCTCGCAGCATCTGCACCAGACACATGACTCCTTCAGCCAGAATCCAGTTGTCTTCCAGCTCCAGATGAATAATAGTGGTGTTGGACTAAAACAGCTCAAACAAGACAGAGAAAGACAAAGAATTGCTGGAAAGTTAGTGAAATGGGAAATGTCCAAGGTGTAATTTAACAGCCCCTGTGTACCTTCCATATAAGGCAGTGCGGGAACTATGTCTAACATAACTATGGTCAGTGAAAAAGGGCCTAATGGTGTTTGGACATGAAAGAGACATGGTTAAGTGATGTAGCTTCCAAGTGACTAATGCTCTGAATTGCTATTATGGGAGAACCAAGTCCAATTCCCAGTCTCAATCTTAAGCTCTTTGGGCCTACTGAGTGGTTAGCAGAAAGCCACGGTTGGGGTACCAAATTTGTTCTCTAAGGGTGTGTCTAGACTATTGAGTTTTGTCGACAAAAGTGGACTTTGGTCGACAAAACTATACCAGCGTCTACACTACCGCTGAGGTCTGTCGACATAACGTCGACAGAACTCAGCCGTAGTGTAGACGCTGGTATAGTTTTGTCGACAAAAGTGGACTTTGGTCGACAAAACTATACCAGCGTCTACACTACCGCTGAGTTCTGTCGACGTTATGTCGACAGAACTCAATGTGTCTGGACGCTCTTTGTCGACGGAAGTTTTGTCGACAGTATCTGTCAACAAACCTTCCGTTGACAAAACGCGGTAGTCTAGACGTACCCTTATTCTCTGGGCCCAGTGGGACCTGTAGAACCCTTCTACCGTCAGCAAAGAGGTTCCTTTTTTTTTCAGTTGGAAGGTTAATGGCTGCAACAGCTTTGATAAATTAAATTGATAAATTAAATAGTAATAAGTCATCATGGCCAGCTGGTATACACCCAAAAGTTCTGAGGGAACTCTGGGTATGTCTACACTTGCACCCTCTTTCGAGAGAGGGATGCAAATGAAGACATTCGAAATCGCAAATGAAGCCAGGATTTAAATATCCTGTGCTTCATTTGCATAATTGCATTATGGCGCTATTTTGAAATAACAAACGCTGTTAAGACGCGGTTATTTTGAGAGAAAACCCTTCTCTCAAAATAATCCTTATTCCTCATACAATGAGGTTTACCAGTTATTTCGAGAGAAGGGATTTTGCTCAAAATAACCATGTCTTAACAGCGTCCGTTATTTCGAAATAGTGCTATTTCAAAATAGCTCCATAATGTGATTTTGCAGATGAAGTGCAGGATATTTAAATCCCAGCTTCATTTGTAATTTCGAATGTCTTCATTTGCATCCCTCTCTCGAAAGAGGGTGCAAGTGTAGACATACCCTCAGATATGAAATTACAGAACTACTGACTGTGATATGTAACCAATCATTTAAATCAGGTTCTGTACCAAATGACTGGATGATAGCTAATGTGACACCAAGTTTTTTAAAAAGGCTCCAGATGTGATCTCAGCAATTATAGGCCAATAAGCCTAACTTCAGTAGTAGGTAAACTGGTTGAAACTATAGTAAAGAACAGAATGATCAGAAACCACTAGCTTCATCCTTAACCATGTACTCACCACTAGTGCAATGGCAATGGCTTTGGCACCCTTGGGTCCTAGACCATGATGGTTCAGGTTCATGTAAGGCTCCTCCATGTTCCTAATGAAGTAAGACACAGGCACCACCCCTACAAGTTTGCAAGCCTCCAGATATAGCTCCTCACCCTTCGTGGTTGCAAAGGACCTCTCATTATCTACAGAAACAAAGGGGGCGTGTGAGCAATATACTGAGTGTCCCATCTCTCTGCCCCCTCCTTGCAGCTATTTCTTCACCTTCAGAAGGAACTGGTTGTTTCCTTACTGGGGTGCATAGGTTACCTGAGGAGGAAGGACTAGAAGATATGAACCTAACCTAACAACCACTCAGAAAAGTCAAATTAATAAGAATCTCTATACATTTCTCCCTTTTGCTCAGTCCTACTCCTGTAGTTTGATGGAAGGAGATATTAGGATCATGTGGGAAGTTCTCTTCCCCTCAACTGTGAAGATGGGCAAGACTGGGACAGCCCAAAAGTTGCCACGCATGTAGAGCTTTTTGTGTTCATGAGAACTCACTCCACACCTTTTCAGATTCATGAGTCATTTTCAACTTTTCAGTCAATAGGCCATGGGCAGGGCTTTTTGTGACTGGTCTGTGTCTAATTTTGCCTTCTTGAGCTAAGCTGAGAGCAAATGGAATTCCACAGAATAAGAAAAAAGCCTCTGTTCTTAAAGACATCTGCTTTCTGGGAAAATTTATGCTGTACCTATTTCTTCTATGTTCCAGTGTGAAAAACATGCATTGGTTTCTCATATTTAATTTCAGAAACCTGGAGCATGACTGAATCATTCTGGGTCTAAATGAACACTTCTGACATCAAACAAGGAAGCCCTATTTTATTTATCTTAGCTGAAACCTGGCCGAGTTCTTAAAGACATCTGCTTTCTGGGAAAATTTATGCTGTACCTATTTCTTCTATGTTCCAGTGTGAAAAACATGCATTGGTTTCTCATATTTAATTTCAGAAACCTGGAGCATGACTGAATCATTCTGGGTCTAAATGAACACTTCTGACATCAAACAAGGAAGCCCTATTTTATTTATCTTAGCTGAAACCTGGCCGATGATGCC